GCGCTATTTTCCTCGAAGTTGCGGAATCGCTTTGATATCTTCTTCCATCTTACTAATTAGGGCTTTCAAAGTTCCATCTTGAATCATGTGCGAACAACAAACTATCGTAGTATCCATATCAGTAAATAGTTTTTAATTCTTACATGTATGACGGTGAAAAACGTCATTTGAAAAGTTGATGCCGCCGAAGAAGCGGTCTAGAGGAAGGCCGAGTCTGCCCGGCTCGGCAAAGGTTATTCGACTTCGAGAGTCTGTGTATGATTTATGGAGGGCAAGGAAAACAACAATGGGTTTCGGTAACACTACAGACAGTGCTTTTGCAGAAATGTTATTGCATTGTTCCTACGATGGAACTAGAGACTCCGGGGAGAGTTTTTCGAGGTGAGAATAATTATTTGACTGATTTTTACTTGAGATCCTGAGATATGTATGTAAGCGATCTCATTTGTACAAGTCATTATTCTACAATTGAAATGCGTAAAGTAAATCAGTTTTGGCGAATATTGGTTATTTGTTTATATTTTACTTAGCGTTGAAGCCGAACAATTTCCTTCAACATCAAGTAAGGTTTGTACAAGTTTTATACACAGACTCGATTTATGATTTTTCAGTCTCAAATATTTAGCTGCAAATTTGTTTACTTTGTTCTTCACCAAATCTTTGTTTTTCTTTTTAATGGTGTTTGTCAATGATAATCAGAGTTCGCCATTTAACAATAGCGCGATTCCAAAACAAAAACAAACGACTGAAAAGGATCTCAGATGAAAATGGGCCTTTAAGACTGATTATTTTCAAGTTCTGTTCATGGCTCAGTCTCTTTTTATCGTCTGGGGGAGGGGAAGAAAGTCACCGCAATACTGCGTTGTTGGCCGTCTAGAGGACCGGGAACACCAGAAGTAACGATTGCGTCGGTCCCAGCTCCCGCTTTCACATGCAACAAAATGGCGTTGAGCAACTTAAAAGGAGAACAGCTTTTGATAGGCCAGAACCCGCCCAAATAGCGAGAGATCGGAGCCTGAAGAAAACCAATAGTATATAAAAGACCGAGGGGATGTCTGACGTGAAAAAAGTCCCATTACATGATCGCACTAATCAGTTTCCTGATCAGCATATGAGTGTTAGAGGTAACACGATAGTTTGCACTGCTTGGAGAGTTGTTTCATCAAAGAAAAGCATTTTTTCATCCCTTTATGCTTCCAAAATCCATGCCAGTGGGAAAAAAAAGATCAAGATGTCGAAGTTGAGAGAACAAACTATTACCGTAGCACGAGAGAGAAGTCATCAGGACAGCATGTGTGTCACTAAAGATTAGGAAAATGTGATGCTTTATTAACAATAAATACATGATTGGGGTTTTTGAACTAGTTTTGTGTTTTGTGTTTTCTTTTTTCTTTTTAAGTATGCATCAAGAAAAAGTGGCACAATCTTCAATAACGAGCATACTTTTGAGCATAATTTGGAAAAAATCAGGTACTGCTAGGAATATAATATGCTACTTTTACCAACGAAATAAGGGCCTGATCCGAGGAAATTGACATTCGAGGAGAGCTTTTTCGTGGAAAGGATAGACATTGACATTTTTCAAAATGTGGAAGATGAAATACTTTTACTAATATACCGATGGTGATTCATACAAGAAAATGTGCATTTGCAGCCACCGAAAAGGTCCATAACTTTTGAAACATTCACTTTTCCTCAAACACATGCTCCAGATTTTCGATGAGGAAGATTTTTTTTAACAAAAAGGAAAGCTCAAATTCGAAAACGATCCAAACTGTCTGACTAGATGCCTAGATGCCTTTTTTTTATTCTCGTCACGTGACATATCATTTCGAACCATTTAAAGTGAACATGGATCGACCAAACTCGACCAACTTCGATGACCACCGTGGTCCAGTTTATCAAAATGAAACGAGATGAAGACAGAAAGACAGATTAGGAATTGCTTTCAGGAGGTACAATTAAAGTGAGAACTTATTCCTATTGAGTTGGTAATCCAAGAATATTCCGTAAACTCTGTCAACGATTATTCGTATTCCTGCTTGACTTTTCGACAGCTGTTTTAACCAGTTTCCTGCTTTTTTTGTTTTATTCAAATCACTTTATTCGTTCGTCTTACAATCACTGATCTGTTTTGCAACCAACTAAGAGGTTGCCTTTTGAAAACTCCCCGACCAATTATAATTTAATAAACATATTTTTGATGCCAATTAATTCAACTAGATTGATGAAGAAGTTCGAATAGGATATTCTAATTTGAAATGTAAGCTCTTAATTTAGTTAGGAAGATTGAATAGCCAAGTTATTTGAACTAATAGTGAGTATAGATTAGTGACACCAGCTGTTCTTGGGTAAGATACTGTTCTTGAGTTCTTGGGTAAGATACTGTAAGCTCAAAGTGCCACACCTTTTCCAGGGGGGAGGTAACCCTGCAATGGAATATGAGTTTAATTATTGTTATTGTGAGGCGGGTAATGGCTTTCATATTCATGGAAATCCCATATGAAAATAGTAATGCACCTGTCTAACCCCTGTGCAGGCATGAGTAATTCCTACAATGTAGTCAATGTAGGAGTTAT